GAGATGGCTATTCTCCACCTGAGCATTCATGACCATCTCTTCAGACCATGTTTGAGGTTTTCCAAGGTTTTCGTATCACTTAAATGTTAGCTTTGAAAGCATGTGGAGGCATGGAGCCAAACATATGATTCCAGATGACTATTTAAACCAAGCCGTCTATACTTGTACTTAGGTTGCTTAGTCAAATTTTAATAGACTTGTCTGCCAGCTGAGAAATTCAAATAACTTTGTTATAGTTATGACCCGGCTCTTAGGCTATAACATGAATGGGAGGCAAGACAATGTTAAATCTACTTAACCACAAATATATTACTAAAATAACAAAGGAATACACAAAGCCATAATGGTAAACAAGGCAACCGAGAAACAAACAGCAACGCTGTGATGCACACTTCATGATGTGAGCCATGAGAAAGCCGGCAGCACCACTGAACAAGGAGGTGGATTTAAGCTGAAGACTACATCAGGCTATGGTGTAGCTTATCATCTCCTGATAATGACCCCACTTTTGTATGGCCCTGTGACAATAAAGCACAACCAGCAAAATGGGAAGACCTAGTGGTCTGGAGGGGCTGTCACAGTTATGCATATATATTTATTGACATATTTAATTACTTAATGTTAAGTCTGTGAATTCACATTTGAACCAGTCCAGGATATCATTTCTCATGCATGTGTTTGTCCTTTGAACGTCAACTCTAGCAAACTTAGGGCCTATTTGACAAAAGTTGTTTACCATCTTTGATGGAAGAAGCATGAATGTCACCTGAAGAGACACAGTGACATGCCTGCTAAAGAGAATGTGAGGCTGAGACATCTTCCTAAAACCTCAAACAGTTTAAGCTTTGAGGAAACAGAAAATCTCTCATAAGAGTGTTGAAAATGTGGTATTGAACTTTTTACTCCATGGCGACTGAATTAGCTGAAAAATTCAGTTTCTCATTAACCAAAGACTGGATGACAATTTTTTGTGTCATCTGGTATTTGTAATTGTTCTTGTTATTGTTCCTATTATTTTTAAATCTGTAAATCTTTAGCATGTGACTTTAAAAAGTCTAAATTATGTCCTTCATTTAAACATGATGTTGCAGGATGTAAACTCATGTATTTTTGATTGCACACATACACTGTGAAAACACAACACCATTTTGAGATTTTTGAAGAAGCACACTAAATATTTAATCATCTTTAAATGTAGGAACTACAGTACTTTAACTCCACCAATGGTTTCACTGAGCAAATTTGACTTATATTTGACAAGGAGGATCTATACTCTGACTCAAGTGATGAAAAGTGAAGCATGTTACCACCTATCATAGCAAAGGTAGCAAAGGTATGTTGTGGAAAATCCAGCATAAACAATGCACAGGAGACAGGATGAGATCAGAAGAACAGCCTGGGCGTCTTTAATTGTACATATGTAGAAATCAGTACAGATGACAGAGTCTCGACCAAGACCGAAGGAAGCCTCCCTAGCTTTTCTTCTACTCTCTTTTATGCTGTTAGGTAGGTGTGTGTGTGTGTGTGTGTGTGTGTGTGTGTGTGTGTGTGTGTGTGTGTGTGTGTGTGGAGGGCTGCCCATGATGACATGTCTGCCCCACGACACTTTGTTTAGGCTCGTCTTGACCCTGGCAGAGATTAAATGTTCCAACAGACAGATAGTTCAGGCTCCTGCAAGACAGCCTTGCTTACAATCTCAGAGTTGTGGGGCTGCAGGAGCAGGCCAACCTGGATTATTTGTAGCTTCTTACTAAAAGATAATTACTCTATATTTCTTAACCTAAATGTATGAAGAGATTCTCCTACACAGTCCCCCCTTTGAAAGTTCTTACTTTCATAAAAACCTGATCATCATATCAAACACTAACCATCCTTACGTGATTAAAATAGAACATGTTCACTAAATTCTAAATGCTATGTGTATGATTTGCTGCATCTAAGACTTCATAATACCACATGAAACAAAAATCAATACCATACCATACCATAGCTAGGATCATTTTAAATTATATCAGCGCGTAAGACTGAAAACCCTGCTCGGCTGTTTCAGCAGGGAAAGAATCTTACGGCCCCGCGCCCTGGCGACCATCCATTTCCTGGATGCGTTGACATAATTTCATTTGCATAGAAAAAGAGTCAACTTCTGATAATATCATTAATAATAATAATAATAATAATATCTTACATTTATATAGCGCCTTTCAGGATACCCAAGGCGCTTAACAACACACTACAAAAAAAAACTAAATACCAAAAGCCTGAATAAACAAGTGTCACTTCAGAGCAGACTTGAAAGAGTCAAGAGTCTGTGCTTGGCGAATCTCAGAGGGGAGAGAGTTCCAGAGAGGAGGGGCGGCCACATTACATTACATTGTAGCAACCTGCGACAAACCCCTTGATTAATATGTGATTAACCCCTTGATTAATGTGTGATTAGTGTAGTCCTTTAACTCTGCGAATGAAACATGTTCAGTTCAATATCTCAGCTCATTGGATATGTTGTTTGTGTTGCTCAAAGTCCATTGCTCATCTTCGTCTCCGTCAAAGTCCAGGAACCGTTCAGGTCCCTCAGTCCCTCCTTGATTAATCACACACTGTGCCAGCTGTTCTGGTGGCATTTCCTGTAGTTCATGGGCCGGTGTTAGGTCCACCATAAGTCCCATCTCCTCCGTCAGCTTCCAACAATGTCTCAAAAGGATGTGTACGATGCGACACACACACACACACACACACACACACACACACACACACACACACACACACACACACACACACACACACACACACACACAGAGCAGCATTATCAGTCATCCAGCTCCAGCAGTTTAATAATCCACCAATATTATTCACATCCAGTTTCTCGCAGTCAGTGTGAAAAAAGTTTAAGCTCACTTTAGCTGCAGGTGCCTTCTGTCGCCATCGTGTGGCATTGCTTTCTTCAGCCATCCCTTGATTTCTCCGTGATTACTTGAAAATTGTAATATGCCTCGCCGTTGGCGGATTTAAAGGTGCGTAGAGGAGCTGATATGATTGGCGAAAATAGGTCTCGGCTGTGTTAATCCCACTCCACGCCTTATCTCCTCCCTCTCTACAACTTACGCCGCTAGGAGGAGCTGAGTTAGGGAGGGTGGATACTTACGCCGGGCTGCGCTGCTCACCAAAATACCAAAATGTGCTTGGACACGATTTGTCGGCGCAGCGGACATGACTTACACCACACCTGCGCCACGCCGCCGGGGAAGCCCGAAAATAGAGCCCCTGGACTAATTTAAGGGGAAAATATTGAAACTGAGCTCTTGCCCGAAGACTCCCATTGTGTAGTTTCTGTGCAGATGTGAAACTCTATCTCACACCACTTCCTTCCATCTATGTGCAAGAAGAACTTTATTGATCCCCGAAGGGAAATTCAATTAAAAAAGCAGCTCTTGAGCTTGTTAAACCCACACACACCTCATACTTGCAAGATATCACACTATTCTATCAAATGTTAAATGAGACTGACCACAAGTCCTCGGAGACACAGAGAATGTACATCTCAAAATCCTGGCCCAAGCTGTCTGTCACATGACCCCAAACTGCTGTTTTTACCCAGCAACATTTGAAATAAGACATAGCCACTTTCAGACACTGTTTGGGTTGCACCCTTGTGCTCACTGCCCCACACCAGATGAGAGTCCCCATCGCGAGAGATTACAAAAGCAAGATGAATGAAAGCCTCAAGCTGTCTCCAGGCTTTGCACAGAAGACAACAGGGGACATAATGCTGCATGCCACCATGATGTTTCTTTTGTGCTGTAACTGCTCAGTGCTGCAAGAGCAGATGAAGAGTGAATGGCTGTTAGAAGTCTACAATGAACCTCTGTGGCTGGCTATTAGTACAAAGGAGATGTAGCAGCGTCACAAGCGGAAATAGACCAATTTACAGCCTACCTCATCAAAAAGCTGCATGCACAGCATGGCAAGTGTCAATAAAAGTTTCCTACTATTTTGCCCTACCCACTCAAACGAAGAAGTAAACAGGACAAGCGTCCTGCTCTGCCCGACCACGATCAATCACTGCAGGGAGAGAGGCTCACACACTGAGAATCTTTCACAACGTTACACACACCCACGCACACACACACACACACACACACATACGTGTTTTCATGAACTATCGGTACGTATGACAGGAACGTGAAAAATGGGTACACGCCTTTCCCAAAGGCCTAGAGGCCTGTCAATCACAGGGTTTGTTACCAATTTTCCCAGGAACATAGCCATCTATTGAGATTTTGGCTAAGACCATCTTTTGGAAAAGTTAGAATTTTATGCTACTTGTGAGGACATTGTCAGGTTTCTATTACTTATGAGTACAATCTCATAACACACTGATATTTTCATGTTTAGATGAAATATAAAGCCACTGGATACACACACTTTCTGGTATACATGACTTATAAAGACCAGGCCGGTCTGGATTTTCAACTTGGCTACTGCTACTGAGGATTTAAATATCTATGGCATTGCTGTACAATAACCATGCTCACGAGCCAGGTAACCTCTGAAGTAAAAGTCAGATATTCAAATGTTAACACAAGTTAATGTGGAACAACATGAAGTTTTAAGTCCTACTGCATTGCATTCATAACTTAAGTAGTAAATGTTCATGTTAATAAATACATCTGAACCATTTTTGCCTTGTTTACTTTTAATTTCTGACACATTGTTGACACACTACAACAGAAAAGCAGTGCTGTATTTAAACAAAAAAAAGCCCACATTATCATTCGTTGTGAAGCTCCTGGCTTCCATGAAACTGTTTTCGATTAAACTGCTTGTTGAAACTGAGCAGTGTGAACACACACAGAACACAGTGTGACAGGCACTGTAATAAAACAAGGGGAGCTGGAAAAAAAGCATGCTTATAAAGTGGACAGCAGATTCACTTTCGAAAGGCCTAAAACTGAAACATAACATTTCTACATCAGCACCTGGAGAACATTTCAGGGTTCATAGTTTTATTTATTCATCTTTCTTTTTAATGTTGTGATTCTGTTATGAATATAGTATTTTACGGCAACCCAGTCTCTGTCCTTAAGGGCGACTGGCTCTGCCCGGATGCAGGAATCACAGACTTTTTTACCAGGGACTTTGCAGCTTGTTATGAAATGAAGCATGTGTCGCTCAACTGCCTTCACTTCATCAACAGCCCACTGTCTTCTTGCCTTCCGATCTGTCAAATAGAAAAAAAAAAATTCTCTTACCTTTTAAAAAATTGCTGTCCGATTGTGAAAAGGCTTGATGGAAATGATGGAAAATAGTTTAGGTAATACTGTCACTGAAATGTGTGTTTTAACCTTGCTTTCCACTGGAGCATTTCGGGGAAACCTGGATTGTAGCGTTTTCAGCTTCATCCTGCTGGATATCTAAAAAGATAGATGAGAAAATGTATTAGAGACTGCCATTACTAAGAATACATTAATACAATACTTTCTTCTTATCACAAGAACAATCACTTCAAACTGTTTTGTTTGTCTGCCTTTTATATTTTACCATCGGGCTGAGTGTTGACGTTTTCGTTGTCCAATGTCATTCCGACAGAAGTGCCCTCCATGTTGTCCCGTGTGGTTGAGTCAGGTCCATGGCTTTGGTCTCCAGAAGTCTTAGTTCTTGACACTTAACATAGTAACAATGAAATGTCAGTGTCTATAGACAAGTTTTGACTGGCTTTCTTTGTTTGCAATATAAGAAAAGTTAATTGACTCGACATTCAGTGAACTTAAAACTTATTAATGCTGTGTTTCAACTGACGGTATCAGCTCTACTAGAGCCTGTACTTTTTTGGGGGAAATGTTTCCACTATAGTAGAACCCCCTGATGACGTGTTCCCCCTCCTGTGACGTCATTTCACTCTGGCTTTTGTTGTCATTGATAGCCGTGGAAAAAAAAAAAAAGTGATAACATGCTACGTTTTATTTCCCAACACTCCTAGCTCATCCACTGTCCCTGCTTTGGTTTTTGCCACATTTTTTGTGAAGCTCAGCACTTCGCCCTTGTCAGTGCACTGTACCTTGACCACTGCTGCTTTCCTCCCGTCTCTGAGAAATGATGGAGACCTGCTGATGTGGGTCAGCAACAGTTTCTTCACCGGAATCCTCGTCACTCGTGTCTACTTCATCTTGGTGGGTAAAAAAAAAAAGGCCAAATTATCTTAAATGTGAACATTTATTTGAAGCATTATGAAATGTTTCAAAATAAAATTTTACCATCAGGGCTGATCATGATGTCATCTAGCCCCTTTCCCTGCAGGTCAGACAGTTGTCCTTTTTCCATAGCCATCAAGAGTTTGCTGACTTTTGCCAGCTGCAGGGTGCTCTCAGGGAGCCGGTAGAATTCACGGTGGACACGGATGTCATGTCCAAGAAAAGAGGCAAGCTGGTCCATTTCATTTTCTTTGAGATTTAGGACTGTGGACAAAGTGGCAACTTGTTTCCTCAATCTTGTTGAGGTGAGTGCCTCTGGGTACTTTGCACCACATTGTTTCGCATAGCTGCGAAGGCAGTCAGAGCCTCTGTAGTGGGAAAGGACACCTGGCCGTGCAAACAAGTACGCATTCTCTGCGTGGACCTGACACTGATGCCTGTTTTTCACAAGCAAGTCCATTGCGGAAATCATGTCCGGTGTGAGAAGCACAGGTACCATTCGTGACCTTTTACCTCGGATTTCAACCCTGTCGAAGTGTTTTGCAAGCTTCTTTTCCAAGTCACTAAGGCACATCATAATGTCAGGATTCAATTGTGAACGATTCCGCGATGTAAAAGCCTGAAGCTCAATTTTTGAAACTTCCCCTTGCCTTTTTCTGTTGAAGAGTACTACCTGTGTCAAAGTCAACTTTGCCAGATTTCCAAAGTTTGTGCTGTTTGGATTTTCCTCCATGTCTTTCATGCACTTAGCACTTTCGGTAGCCAGAAATCTGTGCAGCAGTGAAACGTCCTGTGTGAATGGTAAAACCTGTGGTTTGTTCCATTTTGCTTGCGTAAGTGTACCCAGTGCAGAAGCTGAAATACACTCATTCCACTTTTTTTCATATAACGTGGCAAATTGCTTGGCTGATTCCGCAACAGCGTGGCGATTTGCAATGATAGCATTGCATTGCACAATGCCGGCAACTTTGGCCAAACTGTGGCCTAACTTTAAAGCCAAGGATGGGATTTTATACGAGTTGCTTTGTACCTCATATCCAGCGACAGCTCTGACTGCTTTTATGACAAGGGGAAAGTTAGTTGGCATAACAAGGTCTTCAGTGCTTTTCAAAGGGGTCATGGCTCTGGCAGTTATTAATAACCTTGCCATCTCTCTCATTTTTTGACGTATGTAATCGTTCCTTTTCTCTTGTGGTTTCCTGACATTATATAGTGACTCACCAAGCCTGAGAATGTCTCTTTCACTTCGTACTACTGAGGAAATGCTGTCCTGGTTCATTTCACAAGCAATCTTCCACACAGCTTCATGCACTTCCTCAGGTTTTGGTAAGTCCAGGTAAATCCGTTTTTGTCCAACACAAGGCTCTTCTTCAAAAGGCCTCTTGGGACACTTTTTAACATGTCGCCAAAGGCAATCCCTTGCATATAGCCCTTGGCAAAACTTGCAATGACGGTACTCATTCGATGATTTTACTGCAGCGGGTCTTCGACATGCTACCATTTCACCAGTACCGCAACTTGCCACAGTAGCATTGTGTTCAAAGTTTCCCATTTTTTTCAGAGAACGTAGCAACTCTCTCCGTTGGCGGGATCTTTTATCAAAACTGAGAGCCTTTGCAACGTCAGGCTGGTCATTATGGGCGGATTCGAGATGTCTTGCCAATTTATAAATGGCCTTCTTACAATACAAACAGTGTTGTTTTTTGTTGTACTTGCTTCTCTTGGCTGTGTTAGGCAATGGTGAAACTCTTGGGTTATGTTCTACACTTTCATGTGTCTTTTTGGTTTTTGGCTTTTTGGGTGATGAACATCCTGATGAACCGAGACTGCAACTTATCACTGTAGTACTGTGACTGCTGATCTTCAGTGTAGAACTTGTAGGCATCTCTGAATCGCAGATCACCTCACTGTTTGCCATTGCTGTCACCAATGGCATGTTTTTGGGGGGAGTATGAGTGTCTTTGACTCTCACTTCATCCTCGCCAAGACTTGAATCAGAACTGTCACTGGTGGCTGGAACATAGTCGATATCTTCATCATCAGTATTGTCTGACACTGAAGATTCATCAGTAGAGATCTGGAGGAAAATGAAGAGTAAAAGAGCCCAACATATTTCATTCTCAGTTGCAAATTATTACAACTATTATTACCTATACCATACTACACAGTAGAGCCTACATCAAAATACTTTTCAGTATAGGATGTGATCTAATGGTGTGCAAAATAAGGAAGACCAATGTATGACATAACATATTCTTATTAGGACGAAGCTACTGCATAAATTCTAACACCTATTTCGAAAGACAAAATCTGCTGCAATGTTGTCTTTAAACCATGGTGCATGATCAGGAAACGAGTAGTGAATCACAGAATTTCAGTTACATGTGGACTGGTGGGCACTTTAAAACGTATGTTCTTGTTTTTACAGTACATATTACAAAAGAATGGTTGGTTTTTGCTTAGTTTCATACTCACAGAATCCTTAAATATGGGGATGAGACTCAAGGTCTTCTGCCTCTCTCTCTTGTTGAGCTTTTTCTTGGCCTCATCATGACCTTCTTCACATTGGGCATGTCGTCGCTTTAACTTCTGCAGAAGATAACTTGCTTTTAACTGTTCAAGTGAAAAATCATGTAGAAAGAATCTCTGTAATACATGAAATTCCTAGCTCAAAGAAAGAGGCAGGAGAAGACACCTCTCTTACCTGCTTGGCAGTTGCTCTCTTTTGGATTGGGACAACTTCAGTGGTGCAGTTGGCCTTGAAATGAAATGACAAAGAACCAACTTTTTTTTAATATTTACTAAGAATTTTACTTGACATTGAAGCAATTCATTAAATGAAAAAGAAAATAATTTGGGTGTAAAAAAGAAAAAAACTGTATTAGACTCAACCTCACTTACAGTAATATATTTTAAGAAGTGTTCAAACTGTACAGAATCTGCTACCCCATAATTAAAGGAATATGTAATACACTCTGGTTGAGTCAGACGTACAAGGACATAATCTGAAACACACTCAAATCTTTCACAGCCTAAAACAATATGATTGAACAACAGTGAAGAGCATTCTAAAAATTTTTAAAGCCTACCCAACAATATGAGGACAATGTAACACACACACTCTGCAGGCGTTGCCTCTGACATATGAGGACATCGTCTGAGAAACCCTCAAACCCTTCACAGCCTGAAGTTTAATATTTGCTGCCCAACAATATGAGGACAATGTAACACACACACTCTGCACGTGTTGGATCAGACATATGAGGACCTGACGGCTCAACACTCAGAGACTCTATGTTCCTGACTTCTAACTTCACCTGATGTGGTCACATGAAGCTCTAAAGTCCACAGTGATATAAATGGATCTACATCTCCACGGATCCAGTCAATTAAACTGATCATGAAGAGGTTAAATGGACAAATACGTCAGTGTGGAGACATAAAATACTGAATTTTGGGAGAACAATGTTCAATGTGATATTCTCAGCTTTAACTTAGTCAGGACCATCTTCCCCATACATGTTGAAATGAAATCCAAATTGACACCATACCTGATGTAAAGTTGGAGGAGATCCCTCTCTCTCCTGAGGCTTTGCAGAAGGTTGAGTGGGGTTCTCAGCACTTGGTGTCTGTAACAAACAACAAGACACTATAACAAATATTTTTCACCTTTGAACTTAACCCGTTACACACAAGGGCATGTTCGCTCATTACACCTGAGTCTATGAAGAGTTCTTAAAGTCTACAGTATCAGCTCCCCCACAATATGAGGACAATGTTACACACACACTCTGCACGTGTTGCCTCAAACATATGAGGACCTGACGGCTCAACACTCAGAGACTATATGTTCCTGACTTCTAACTTCACCTGATGTGGTCACATGAAGCTCTAAAGTCCACAGTGATATAAGTGGATCTTCATCTCCACAGATCCAGTCAATTAAACTGATCATGAAGAGGTTAAATGGACAAACATGTCAGAGTGGAGACATAAAATACTGAATTTTGGGAGAACAATGTTCAATGTGATATTCTCAGCCAGACATATCACTACCAAATGGTGTGGCCAGTTTATTAATGCTAAACAACTCATATACATTTGATGGTCACATAAATGCTGTCAACATTTCCCACAAACTCACTCACTAACTCATCATCTATACCCGTTTGGTCCTGAATCATTTTAATTTAGTCAAGGACCGGCTTTCTCACACACACTGAAATGAAATCCAAACTGAATCCATACCTGATGTAAAGTTGGAGAAGATCCCTCTCTCTCCTGAGGCTTTGCAGAAGGTTGAGTGGGGTTCTCGGCACTTGGTGTCTGTAACAAACAACAAGACACTTTAACAAATATTCTTTACCTTTGGACCTTAGTAGTTATACATGAAAATAATCACTAGATCTTCATAATCATGCCGGAATTGGAAAGAGCTTAAAAACTGTATAGTATCAGCTCCCCAACAATATGAGGACAATGTTACACACACACTCTGCACGTGTTGCCTCAGACATATGAGGACCTGACGGCTCAACACTCAGAGACTCTATGTTCCTGACTTCTAGCTTCAGCTGATGTGGTCACATAAAGCTCTAAAGTCCACAGTGATATAAATGGATCTACATCTCCACAGATCCGGTCAATTAAACTGATAAGAAGGAGGTTAAATGGACAAATACGTCAGTGTGGAGACATAAAATACTGAATTTTCAGGGATTAAAGTTCAATGTGATGGTCACATAAATACTGTCAACATTTCCCACAAACTGAGTCTAAAACTTAGTCAGGACCATCTTCCCCACACACGTTGAAATGAAATCCAAACTGAATCCATACCTGATGTAAAGTTTGAGGAGATCCCTCTCTCTCCTGAGGCTTTGCAGAAGGTTGAGTGGGGTTCTCGGCACTTGGTGTCTGTAACAAACAACAAGACACTATAACAAATATTCTTCACCTTTGGACCTTAGTAATTATACACAAAGGTAATCACTAGATCTTCATAATCATGCCTTAATTGGAAAGAGCTTTAAAACTGTATAGTATCAGCTCCCCAACAATATGAGGACAATGTAACACACACACTCTGCAGGCGTTGCCTCAGACATATGAGGACCTGACGGCTCAACACTCAGAGACTCTATGTTCCTGACTTCTAACTTCACCTGATGTGGTCACATGAAGCTCTAAAGTCCACAGTGATATAAATGGATCTACATCTCCACAGATCCAGTCAATTAAACTGATCATGAAGAGGTTAAATGGACAAACATGTCAGTGTGAAGACATAAAATACTGAATTTTGGGAGAACAATGTTCAATGTGATATTCTCAGCTTTAACTTAGTCAGGACCATCTTCCCCATACATGTTGAAATGAAATCCAAACTGAATCCATACCTGATGTAAAGTTGGAGGAGATCCCTCTCTCTCCTGAGGCTTTGCAGAAGGTTGAGTGGGGTTCTCGGCACTTGGTGTCTGTAACAAACAACAAGATATATAACAAATATTCTTCACCTTTGAACCTAACTAGTTACAAACAAGGACATGTTCGCTCATTACACCTGAGTCTATGAAGAGTTCTTAAAGTCTACAGTATCCGCTCCCCCACAATATGAGGACAATGTAACACACACACTCTGCACGTGTTGCCTCAGACATATGAGGACCTGACGGCTCAACACTCAGAGACTCTATGTTCCTGACTTCTAGCTTCACCTGATGTGGTCACATGAAGCTCTAAAGTCCACAGTGATATAAATGGATCTACATCTCCACAGATCCAGTCAATTAAACTGATAAGAAGGAGGTTAAATGGACAAATACGTCAGTGTGGAGACATAAAATACTGAATTTTGTTCAATGTGATATTCTCAGCTTTAACTTAGTCAGGACCATCCTCCCCATACATGTTGAAATGAAATCCAAATTGACACCATACCTGATGTAAAGTTGGAGGAGATCCCTCTCTCTCCTGAGGCTTTGCAGAAGGTTGAGTGGGGTTCTCTGCAGTTGGTGTCTGTAACAAACAACAAGACACTATAACAAATATTTTTCACCTTTGAACCTAACTAGTTACACACAAGGACATGTTCGCTCATTACACCTGAGTCTATGAAGAGTTCTTAAAGTCTACAGTATCCGCTCCCCCACAATATGAGGACAATGTAACACACACACTCTGCAGGCGTTGCCTCAGACATATGAGGACATCGTCTGAGAAACCCTCAAACCCTTCACAGCCTAAAGTTTAATATTTGCTGCCCAACAATATGAGGACAATGTAACACACACACTCTGCAGGTGTTGCCTCAGACATATGAGGACCTGACGGCTCAACACTCAGAGACTCTATGTTCCTGACTTCTAACTTCACCTGATGTGGTCACATGAAGCTCTAAAGTCCACAGTGATATAAATGGATCTACATCTCCACAGATCCAGTCAATTAAACTGATAAGAAGGAGGTTAAATGGACAAATACGTCAGTGTGGAGACATAAAATACTGAATTTTGGGAGAACAATGTTCAATGTGATATTCTCAGCCAGACATATCACTACCAAATGGTGTGGCCAGTTTATGAATGCTAAACAACTCATATACATGTGATGGTCACATAAATGCTGTCAACATTTCCCACAAACTCACTCACTAACTCATCATCTATACCCGTTTGGTCCTGAATCATTTTAATTTAGTCAAGGACCGGCTTTCTCACACACACTGAAATGAAATCCAAACTGAATCCATACCTGATGTAAAGTTGGAGAAGATCCCTCTCTCTCCTGAGGCTTTGCAGAAGGTTGAGTGGGGTTCTCTGCACTTGGTGTCTGTAACAAACAACAAGACACTTTAACAAATATTCTTTACCTTTGGACCTTAGTAGTTATACATGAAGATAATCCCTAGATCTTCATAATCATGCCGGAATTGGAAAGAGCTTAAAAACTGTATAGTATCAGCTCCCCAACAATATGAGGACAATGTAACACACACACTCTGCACGTGTTGCCTCAGACATATGAGGACCTGACGGCTCAACACTCAGAGACTCTATGTTCCTGACTTCTAGCTTCACCTGATGTGGTCACATGAAGCTCTAAAGTCCACAGTGATATAAATGGATCTACATCTCCACAGATCCGGTCAATTAAACTGATAAGAAGGAGGTTAAATGGACAAATACGTCAGTGTGGAGACATAAAATACTGAATTTTCAGGGATTAAAGTTCAATGTGATGGTCACATAAATACTGTCAACATTTCCAACAAACTGAGTCTAAAACTTAGTCAGGACCATCTTCCCCACACACGTTGAAATGAAATCCAAACTGAATCCATACCTGATGTAAAGTTGGAGAAGATCCCTCTCTCTCCTGAGGCTTTGCAGAAGGTTGAGTGGGGTTCTCTGCAGTTGGTGTCTGTAACAAACAACAAGACACTTTAACAAATATTCTTTCACCTTTGGACCTTAGTAATTATACACAAAGGTAATCACTAGATCTTCATAATCATGCCTTAATTGGAAAGAGCTTTAAAACTGTATAGTATCAGCTCCCCAACAATATGAGGACAATGTAACACACACACTCTGCAGGCGTTGCCTCAGACATATGAGGACATCGTCTGAGAAACCCTTAAACCCTTCACAGACTGAAGTTTGATATTTGCTGCCCAACAATATGAGGACAATGTAACACACACACTCTGCACATTTTGGCTCAGACATATGAGGACCTGACGGCTCAACACTCAGAGACTATATGTTCCTGACTTCTAGCTTCACCTGATGTGGTCACATGAAGCTCTAAAGTCCACAGTGATATAAATGGATCTACATCTCCACAGATCCAGTCAATTAAACTGATCATGAAAAGGTTAAATGGACAAACATGTCAGGGTGGAGACATAAAATACTGAATTTTGTTCAATGTGATATTCTCAGCTTTAACTTAGTCAGGACCATCCTCCCCATACATGTTGAAATGAAATCCAAACTGAATCCATACCTGATGTAAAGTTGGAGAAGATCCCTCTCTCTCCTGAGGCTTTGCAGAAGGTTGAGTGGGGTTCTTTGCAATTGGTGTCTGTAACAAACAACAAGACACTTTAACAAATATTTTTCACCTTTGAACCTTAGTAATTATACACAAAGGTAATCACTAGATCTTCATAATCATGCCTTAAATGGAAAGAGCTTTAAAACTGTATAGTATCAGCTCCCCAACAATATGAGGACAATGTAACACACACACTCTGTACATTTTGGCTCAGACATATGAGGACCTGACGGCTCAACACTCAGAGACTCTATGTTCTTGACTTCTAACTTCACCTGATGTGGTCACATGAAGCTCTAAAGTCCACAGTGATATAAATGGATCTACATCTCCACAGATCCAGTCAATTAAACTGATCATGAAGAGGTTAAATGGACAAACATGTCAGTGTGGAGACATAAAATACTGAATTTTGGGAGAACAATGTTCAATGTGATATTCTCAGCCAGACATATCACTACCAAATGGTGTGGCCAGTTTATAAATGCTAAACAACTCATATACATTTGATGGTCACATAAATGCTGTCAACATTTCCCACAAACTCACTCACTAACTCATCATCTATACCCGTTTGGTCCTGAATCATTTTAATTTAGTCAAGGACCGGCTTTCTCACACACACTGAAATGAAATCCAAACTGAATCCATACCTGATGTAAAGTTGGAGAAGATCCCTCTCTCTCCTGAGGCTTTGCAGAAGGTTGAGTGGGGTTCTCTGCAGTTGGTGTCTGTAACAAACAACAAGACACTTTAACAAATATTCTTTACCTTTGGACCTTAGTAGTTATACATGAAGATAATCACTAGATCTTCATAATCATCCCGGAATTGGAAAGAGCTTAAAAACTGTATAGTATCAGCTCCCCAACAATATGAGGACAATGTTACACACACACTCTGCACGTGTTGCCTCAGACATATGAGGACCTGACGGCTCAACACTCAGAGACTCTATGTTCCTGACTTCTAACTTCACCTGATGTGGTCACATGAAGCTCTAAAGTCCACAGTGATATAAATGGATCTACATCTCCACAGATCCAGTCAATTAAACTGATAAGAAGGAGGTTAAATGGACAAATACGTCAGTGTGGAGACATAAAATACTGAATTTTCAGGGATTAAAGTTCAATGTGATGGTCACATAAATACTGTCAACATTTCCAACAAACTGAGTCTAAAACTTAGTCAGGACCATCTTCCCCACACACGTTGAAATGAAATCCAAACTGAATCCATACCTGATGTAAAGTTGGAGAAGATCCCTCTCTCTCCTGAGGCTTTGCAGAAGGTTGAGTGGGGTTCTTGCAATTGGTGTCTGTAACAAACAACAAGACACTTAACAAATATTTTTCACCTTTGAACCTTAGTAGTTATACACAAAGGTAATCACTAGATCTTCATAATCATGCCTTAATTGGAAAGAGCTTTAAAACTGTATAGTATCAGCTCCCCAACAATATGAGGACAATGTAACACACACACTCTGCAGGCGTTGCCTCAGACATATGAGGACATCGTCTGAGAAACCCTTAAACCCTTCACAGACTGAAGTTTGATATTTGCTGCCCAACAATATGAGGACAATGTAACACACACACTCTGCACATTTTGGCTCAGACATATGAGGACCTGACGGCTCAACACTCAGAGACTCTATGTTCCTGACTTCTAGCTTCACCTGATGTGGTCACATGAAGCTCTAAAGTCCACAGTGATATAAATGGATCTACATCTCCACAGATCCGGTCAATTAAACTGATCATGAAGAGGTTAAATGGACAAACATGTCAGTGTGGAGACATAAAATACTGAATTTTGTTCAATGTGATATTCTCAGCTTTAACTTAGTCAGGACCATCCTCCCCATACATGTTGAAATGAAATCCAAACTGAATCCATACCTGATGTAAAGTTGGAGAAGATCCCTCTCTCTCCTGAGGCTTTGCAGAAGGTTGAGTGGGGTTCTTTGCAATTGGTGTCTGTAACAAACAACAAGACACTTTAACAAATATTTTTCACCTTTGAACCTTAGTAATTATACACAAAGGTAATCACTAGATCTTCATAATCATGCCTTAAATGGAAAGAGCTTTAAAACTGTATAGTATCAGCTCCCCAACAATATGAGGACAATGTAACACACACACTCTGCAGGCGTTGCCTCGACATATGAGGACATCGTCTGAGAAACCCTCAAACCCTTCACAGCCTAAAGTTTAATATTTGCTGCCCAACATATGAGGACAATGTACACACACACTCTGCACATTTTGGCTCAGACATATGAGGACCTGACGGCTCAACACTCAGAGACTCTATGTTCTTGACTTCTAACTTCACCTGATGTGGTCACATGAAGCTCTAAAGTCCACAGTGATATAAATGGATCTACATCTCCACAGATCCAGTCAATTAAACTGATCATGAAGAGGTTAAATGGACAAACATGTCAGAGTGGAGACATAAAATACTGAATTTTGGGAGAACAATGTTCAATGTGATATTCTCAGCCAGACATATCACTACCAAATGGTGTGGCCAGTTTATAAATGCTAAACAACTCATATACATGTGATGGTCACATAAATGCTGTCAACATTTCCCACAAACTCACTCACTAACTCATCATCTATACCCGTTTGGTCCTGAATCGTTTTAATTTAGTCAAGGACCGGCTTTCTCACACACACTGAAATGAAATCCAAACTGAATCCATACCTGATGTAAAGTTGGAGAAGATCCCTCTCTCTCCTGAGGCTTTGCAGAAGGTTGAGTGGGGTTCTCTGCAGTTGGTGTCTGTAACAAACAACAAGACACTTTAACAAATATTCTTTACCTTTGGACCTTAGTAGTTATACATGAAGATAATCACTAGATCTTCATAATCATGCCGGAATTGGAAAGAGCTTAAAAACTGTATAGTATCAGCTCCCCAACAATATGAGGACAATGTAACACACACACTCTGCAGGCGTTGCCTCAGACATATGAGGACATCGTCTGAGAAACCCTCAAACCCTTCACAGCCTGAAGTTTAATATTTGCTGCCCAACAATATGAGGACAATTTTACACACACACTCTGCACATGTTGGCTCAGACATATGAGGACATCTTCTAAAACACCATGAGGTCTTTCACAACCCAAAAAAAGGCCTACACCTACAACTGAACACAGAGTCTATTATTCTGACTTGCCAGTCCTCCTGATGTTGTTGAAGGAAGCAATCACCTCCACACAGATAAAAAGGATCTACATTGCTACACATTACATTAAAAGTCATTTTCCTCATATTACTTATGACACCTTGTACTGTTACACATAATTACTCACCAGAACTCGCCATGGCCACTCACTTTCCCCATAGTCATAGGTGATTTCACTCCCCGCCTGGATGTCTTTGATAGCGAACAAGCAAAGATGAGGTTTAAACTGAACAGTCATCTTTTTCATTTTGCAGTTTGGAGACTTGTGGGCATCATTAACCAGTCGGCCCATGGAGTCATCTTCATTGCTGGCATCAATACTGGAATTGAACAGGGACACATGTCTGCGTTTTCTCCACCCATGTTGCAAAGAGCAGCAGATCCTTTCAGGGTTTTACTTACCACCATTTTGTATTGTTCCATATGAAATCAAACAAGAAAGCACTTTGCTTCTCTGTGTACTTTTTTTGCCTCTTGTCCCGTTCATTCTGTGAGATCAACTCTCCACGGTACTCAACCACAAAGGATCCCTTCTCAATTGGTGCACAGGTAAATACACCACGTCCTAGGACACCAAAGGTCACTGATTAGTGTCAAGTAACACCATCCAAGTCAGGCTTAGTAACTTCAGATGATTAAATATTAACAAAGCAAGTTCTGCATGATGCAAGGGAAAAATGTGTGTTGACATGAGACCTTCAAAGTGGTGCATCTGAAATGATGTGTTGACAGTGACCTCTAAGTTATTTATACATCTTCCTATGACCTACAGACAATAACAAGGAATGTATCATTCCAGTCGTGAATTACAGTTGATGTACCTTTATAGTCATTGATCCACTGGACCTTTAAACAAGCCTTATCAGTTTCAGTTGAAATAAACTTGATGGCCTCAGCATCAGGACTAATCCTGCTTCTTCTTGTTGACATGTTCTTCATGTGTGCCTCAACCTGCAGACATCTACATGGGAAGATAATGAGTAGTTACAAGACAAATAATAACACGGACCAATACACAGACACAAATTATATTTCATTTATATTTAAAATTTATCAAGGCCCTCACAAGTCAATTAAATTTTAAATTAAAATATACGATCACTATAAAAACAGTTGCTCTCAGCATAACCTGCACTGAATCACTTTTGTAACCCCCCAAAAAAAAGAAAGAAAAAACATGGCTGTCCCGGAGTTGAAAACCGACGAAGGTACATGCGCCCCGCCCCACGGAGTTAAATACCCCCAGTACATGCGCACCCAGAGTTAAAGACCGACGAATATGCCCCCGCCACTTAATTGACGCACTCTAATGTCGTCTTGCAACCCCCACACCCCGACGAACCGACGAGAGTGTCTAACATGGCCTTTGCAAATGCGAAAAGCCTTCAATCAAAGTCAATGTAAAAGACACGATGACAAGCTAGCTAATTAGCTCGCTAACTAGCTTACTTGAATTGCAGTGGGCAGACTCTGAAATTAGTTACACGGTGCTCAACAACCTCCACTCTTCCACTTTATGGTGACGAAAGGTAATAAACCTGTTATCAAGCACTCCCTTCCAGTTCGTTTGAGCTGTGTTTCATGCATGTTAGTTAATAAAACTACTAATTGGCAAACTGTACCTCATCAGGTGTCTTTCGCGGCATCTCAGTCTAAGAAGGCTCCACAGGTCAAGATAAATCCCTCCGGAGAGCTGAAGGTCCAGGATCACGCAAAAGCCAGTGCAGTGCAGAGGGTTTTGCTCTTGATGTGCACTGTAGATCTTTGACTGGCTCAATCAGCCAATCAGAGGCCGTATTACTAACTCAGTGACCAACCAGAGGCTGTGTTTCTCATGTGTGCCACAGCTCTGCTCTCTAATGCACTGCGGTGAATTAGAAATGTTTTAACTAAAACAGTGTTTCTGATATTAACAATATGACCTGTTTTTTATGTTAAAACACATGAGGGTACTGTAAATTAGGTCATATATGTCTTGTGGTTACCAAGTTTTAGAAAATAACATAATTCCTGTACCCCCTCTATCATTTTTACCCACCTTCACAAAGGAACATTCAATTCAATTTCAATTCAACTTTATTTATATGGCGCTTTTCAAACAGACGGAGGTGCAATTCAAAGTGACTCACAGAGGCTAGAGACACACACCCACCCTCACATACACACACACACACACAACCACACACAGTGTGAGAATTTAAGATAAAATTTTAAAGAGACATGGCCTGACACCAAGACATTACATGAGGAACGAGCTACCTCTCGGAAACACTGGAGATAAAAATAAAGATAAAAATGGTGAAAAAAGTAAAACCTGATGGACTTAAAATAAGAAAATAATAATATTAAATGAGCAAATAAATAAAAGGGGTAAAAGGAGTAAAAACCTGTGACGGGAAATTAAAAAAAGGCTAAGAACAGAGATAATGAATAGAATGACAAAAAATAAACATGAAGAACTTAGATTAAAATGAACATTTGCAGTAAAAGAAGTCTAAAATGGCAATTAGTAAAAAGCCTGGTTAAAAAAAGTGAGTCTTGAGCCTCTTCTCAAAAATATCAACAGTCTCTGCGGCCCTGTGTTTAAAAATTTCAAGGTGGACTGTTAATTTGGGTTTCCTCCATCTCCTTTCCACACTCCTGCATCTTCGTTTGAGCTCTTTGATATGTGCATTTCTCCATGGGGGTCTTGCTTTTTCCTTGATTGTTTTGGTTAAAAGTGGAGCAACTGAATCCAGTGTTGACCTTAGATTGTTGTTAAAATTGTCAACGATAAAATCACAGGGTGCTGGTAAAATCTGTGGAGAGGTGTCCTGTGTGATGTGAATAAAATTTGCAGCCACTTCAGGAGTTAGGTAGCATTTCCTCACCGTTCTGACTGGGCTCTCCCTCTGGTTAAAACTGCTGATTTTGAAAAACACACAAAAATGGTCAGACACAGCCAAATCCACAACAGAGGGCACACCGATGGACAGGCCATAGCTTATGACCAGGTCCAGTGTGCACCCCCTGCTGTGGGTTGGCTGTGTCACATGCTGCTGAAAATCAAAGCAGTTTATAGGTTCAAAAATTCTCTAGACACTGGGTCTGAGGTGTTGTCAATGTGTAAATTAAAATCATCAGTTATTAAAATCCTGTTGTAGGTGGTGTGGATGATTGATAAAAGTTTGGAGAATTCACTGATAAAAGAGGTCGAGTAGCAGGGGGGTCAGTACACATTGATGCAGAGGATAGGAGGGCTGCTAAAAGCAAAGGCGTGATATTCAAATGAGGAGTAGCTGCTAAAAGGAACTGCAGAGGGGGACATTGATTGTTCTAAAAGTAATTCATTTATTTCCTAAGATAGGTAGGTGCTCACAATATAACTCTTAGAATGCAATACATTCATTTTACAGTTACTTTGGAATATTACATTGTTTAAATTATTTATTTAATTTTTAACGTGTCTTTCTTGAACAGTTGTAACAGCAGCGATATAGCACATCAGCTGGCAGCCAGCTGCTGAAAAAAACGCTGCTCTCACATCACAAAAACTCTGGGGATTCAATGACGGATAAAAGCCATCAAGTCATCAGGAGCAACTAGGGGTTCATTTTCTTACCAAAGGATAGTTTAACGTGAGATTGCCATGGCCTACTGAGCCATGCCACCAGCAAAGAGTTGGGGCTCCTTAACCACCACTTTTAAGAGCCTGAAGCTGGTGCTTTGGGTTGTGGAAAAACAAAGTCAGGCTCTGGTTCTGAACCTGCACTGGAACCAGCTCAGCTGAAAAAGCGTAAGAGGCTTTGCAGCATCACACAATCCACCACAAACATGAAGGCGGTCAGAGGACTATTGATGTTTGCATGTGGTGGACCAGCTCCCTCAGTCAGGATGTCCTGTGACTGGTCTCCCCCAGTACACAGTTCGGCATGAATCTTTCTCCAAACTGCCCCATCATTGGCAGAGTATTCATCTTGCAACAGTCTCCTAGTCAAATCCACTTCCATGACTTGCAGACAGAAGGCTCACACTGCTTGTTCTGCTCCTCCTGCTCCCCAGCTGCTGGAGCTCTCTCCTCATACCATCTCCTCCTGCTCCCCAGCTGCTGGAGCTCTCTCTTCCTACCATCTCCTCCTGCTCCCCAGCTGCTGGAGCTTTCTCCTCCTACCATCTCCTCCTGCTCCCCAGCTGCTGGAGCTCTCTCCTCCTACTATCTCCTCCTGCTCCCTAGCTGCTGGAGCTAACCCTCCACGAGCACCTCCTCCTACTTCCTCACCGATGGAGCTAACCCCAGGGGAGAGGTGGGGTCAGCAGGTTAACCCCGCTCCCCAGCTGATGGAGCTAACCCTTCTGCTTTCTAGCTGATGGAGCTAATCATTGTAGTGTATTTTTTCATGTTTTTGCTATGATACTTACGTATGTGCTTGTGTAAGGGTTCAACATTCATCTAACTCATCATCTATACCCGTTTGGGCCTGAATCCAGGGTCACGGGGGGTCAGCTGGAGCCTATCTCAACTATCATTGGGCAAAGGCAGGGGACACCCTGGACAAGTTGCCAGTTTATCGCAGAGCACAACCATCCATGCTAACACTCCCACCTACAGTCAATTTAGAGTTCCCAATCCACTTCATGCATGTTTTTATGATGGTGGGAGGAAGTCGGAGAACCCGGAGAGAACCCACGCAGACATGGGTAGAACATGCAAACTCCACACAGAAAGGCCCCAGGCCATGAAACAAACCCGTAACCTTCTCCCCATGAGGCGGCAGCGCTAGTCACTCTGCCACCATGCCGCCCTTGCTGAATGATGAGAACGAGTGTTTTGCACATCCAGGCTTTCATGCCACCATGATCAGGTTGAACAGTGCTTTACCTTAACTTTTACAACTATGTTGTGCTGATCAGGCCTTAAGAGGGTTTACATTAGCTCATGTTGATATCGATTTTGCTGTGATTCGCCCATGTTGCACGTACAACCTATCCTGTAAATGTATAAAACCTCTTCAGACTCTCCATTGAGTTTGGAATTAGTCCCGGCCTCCAACAGTATCTTTGTCGGTAAATACTCTCTTCGTATTGGACCTGATGTGTGTTGACTAGTGCCTTCCTATACGCCTCCATCCCACAATCAAGACACTTCAACCTCCTGCAGGAGCTCACCCTCCTTCTCCCTACCTGCTGGAACTAACCATCCTGCTCCTCCTTCTCCCTAGCTGATGGAGCTAACCCTCCTCCTCCTCGTGCTCCCTATCTGCTGGAGCTAACCCTCCTGCTCCTCGTGCTCCCTATCTGTTGGAGCTAACCCTCCTGCTCCTCATGCTCCCTATCTGCTGGAGCTAACCCTCCCGCTCCTTAACTGCTTGAGCAAACCGCCCTGCTCCCTAGATGTTGGAGCTAATCTTCCTGCTCCCTTTCTGCTGGAGTTAACCCTCCCGCTCCGCAACTGCTTGAGCTAACCGTCCTGCTCCCTGGATGTTGGAGCTAACCTCCTGCTCCCTATCTGCTGGAGCTAACCCGCCTCCTCCTCCTGCTTCCTAACTGTTGGAGCTAACCCTCCTCACATGGATGTTGACTGGTGTGACTGTTGACTCGGGACTTGTGTGTCTAGTAAAAATTTAGCTGTATGGTGCTACTTCCTGTTTGCTCCCATTCCCATTGTTTGAATGTTCATTACAATGTTGTGACCTCCAACCACTGTGAGCTCTAACCTAGATGTTGGAACTAACTTCCTGCTCCTTAGCTGCAGGAGCTAACCCGCCTCCTCCTCCTGTTCCCTAACTGTTTGAGCTAACCCTCCTAACATGAACGTTGACTGGTGTGACTGTTGACTCGGGACTTGTGTTTCTAGTAAAAATTGAGCTGTATGGTGCTACTTCCTGTTTGCTCTCATTCCCATTGTTTGAATGTTCATTACAATGTTGCGACCTCCAACCACTGTGAGCTCTAACCTAGAT